GTGTGTGTGTGTGTGTGTGTGTGTGTGTGTGTGTGTGTGTGTGTGTGTAAATATATATGTATGGAAATAATTCATTTTAAATACTTAAAATTCTGATCTCTTTGGGCACTTAGAGTTCTTGTTTTCTCATTTCAAGCAGTCACTGTGTTCAGTGGGGAGGTTTTTTTTTTAAGTCTGATAGACTTGAATTTGACTACCAATTTTGCTAGTGACTATTCTTTCATTGACTGTTAACTCCCCTGTCCCTCAATTTTCCTGCCTGTAACATTGGAATAATGGCCATGTTGCAAAGGTAGGTTAACAAAGAAGATGATAACAGTAATTGCTAACTTGACAAGGTCCAGCCTCACCTAGGATATACACCTGTAGACGCACATATGAAGGAGCTTGCAGGCTTGGTTAATTGAGATGGAAGGCCATGCTGTTGTATGGGCAGCATCATTCTATAGGATGGGGTCCTGGACTGAATAAAATGGAGTGATTGAACTGAACAGCAACACTGGTCTTTCCATGCTTCCTAATTGTGGATGCAATGTGGCCAGCTACCATGGCTTCACCATTGTGGACCATACCCTTTCTTCTCAAAGTTGCTTTTGTTGGAGATTTTGTCACAATGAGAAAGTATTACCAAGAAATGCACTTGGTGTTCAGTAAGTCATTGTTGCTAAGTGCATGGTCTTCAAGTCCTGGAGGTAGACGTCACTCATATGCACCTTCACAGCAGCTGAGCATATGTTAGAACCCAGACAACCCAGGATAGTGTAAAGCAGCCGCCGCCTCCCATGTGCTTTGAGCTGACATGTTCACTCTGGTTCTATCGTAGTGCACCTGGTGGACATCTGGAACGTCATCGAAGCATTGCGGGAAAACGCTTTGAACAACCTGGACCCAAACATAGAACTCAATGTGGCCCGCCTGGAGGCTGTGCTCTCTACCATTTTTTACCAGCTCAACAAACGGATGCCAACCACCCACCAAATTCATGTGGAGCAGTCCATCAGTCTCCTGCTGAACTTCCTGCTCGCAGCCTTTGACCCGTGAGCCCCCTGTGACTGTCAATTGCTCTCTCTGTGTTTGAGTTCTATTTTCTTTTGTGCCTTTCTTCGTCATTTTCCCAAATGATATTATAGTTTTTCTTCATCAGATTTTACATTCATAAGTAAAACTTTAAAAGCCATAGGGATTAGAGAGTAAACAAACACATGGTTGTGAGAGGACAGCTATACCTTATGAGAAAACCTTGATTTACCCCATAATGTCATGAGTTACAGTTTGTGTGGTTGCTCCAGAATGTGGTATGATGGCTTGCACACAGTGTGATTTGGTAAGGCGCAGAGAGTGAGGATATCTCTAACGTGATTCTTTGCAATTTAACATAGACTGTGGTTTCTGAAGTATCATAACAACACCTAGCCAACAGGAAAGAAGCTGAAGAGGTTCTTGGCTAAGCCTAGAAAAGTAACAATGACTGGTGTCACGTGGACAAGTCAGATGTATGACACAATGAAACAGTGTGCCCTGTCATGCACCACAGCTGAACTGTAGCCTCATTATCTCATAACTTCCCCTAATAGAGCCAGAGAGCCTCAGAGCTGGCTGACATCTTGAAGAGTATCCACACAAATCTCATTTCACAGATGAAGAGCCTGAAGCACAAAGAGATTGTCACTTAGCCAGTTCTCAGTAACATATCCATGAAGACTTGGGTATTCTGCTAGTGTTTCTCTTTCTAAGATGTACATGACAGCCAAATGGCATGTGAAAACTTCAGGAATTACCTGATCAGCCTGGGATTTCAAAGGGGCTTTTATCCGAGGCCCTAGTGTTGACACAACATCTCTACCTAGCTTAGCTTTTGCCATGTTTTGAATATTAAAAAGGGAAAGTGCAGCACTGACCTTTACACAATCATACTTTGCTTAGTCCCTGTCCAAGTGGACATGTACTATGGCAATGGAGATGTTCCAGTCATGCTATTGGCATTTTCCTACTCACCAAAATCACCAGCTGTCACTTTGGAACCTAGAACTGTTCCTGCCCAGTTTGATCAGCACATATTATCGTCTCCATGATGACTACATTGTGAGAAATTTGTGAGTTGAAAATAACTGTTTTTAAGATCAACTTTTTCCAAAGAGACAGATTTTTTTCCTTGTGCATATTTTAGAACCAGATGATCTGCTCTGGTCTGACCACTGTGGGAATCTGAGAAGGGACACTGAAAGAGAGCTGTGGTTCCACATGGCAGATGATAAAATGGAATTGGATCATGGAATTTCTGTAACACAATTCCCATTCTGACCGCTTAACAAGAACACACTGGAGTCCAAATGTGTCACTAAAGGCTGAGTGGGACCCATTTGTTTTAAATGTGTGCTATCCAGCATCCTATTGCTGAGTCAAATACGTGAGATAAGTAATTTCCAGAGGAGGTAATTTTGGCTCACAGTTTCCATGGCTTTGGTCCATGTTCACTTGGCACCATTGCCTTGGGGCCTATGGGTAAGGCAGTGTACCAGAAGATGTCTGTTAACTTGTGATGTCTGGGAAGCAAGGAGAAGGCACGGGAGGTCCCATGTTCCTTTTAAGGGCTCACACTCCATGACTTAAGTTTCACTTGGTTCTACTTGTAAAGGTTCTATCATTTCCTAAGAGTGTCACAGTCTGCCAACCAAGTCTTTAGTATATGAACTGGGGGTGTGAGGGTGGAATCTAAATCACAACCAAATGTGTTGACAGAAAATACTAAAATAAATATGGGACTGGAGAGATATCTTAGTGGTTAAGAGAACTTGCCACTTTTGCAGAGAACTCAGATTCAGTTCCCAGAACCCACTTTATAACTGCAGTTCCAAGACATCCAACACCCCCCATGGGCACCAGGCACACACATGGTGCACATACATAAATGCAGACAAAAGGCTCACAGATATAAGTATTTTTAAAAGAAATATCATTTCCTCCTAAGTTCTAAAATATTTCTGGAAATGCACAGAGAATCAATGTTAAAACATAATTTGTTCCCTAATCAATAAATACAGAAACAGGACCAGATTACCAGATTAGTAGTAATGAAGGGATTGTCTTATGAAATATATGGCATTCAACCCATTAGGGTTAGAAGTTTCCCATTTGTTTAGAAACACCAGTTAGATTATTTTACAAAGCAAAGCTGTGTGTTCCCTAAATAGCTACTGATACTATTGCAGTATTATTTCGAGGCCAGATGGATTCTAAGTTGACTGCTATCCTTTGGTAAGAAGTCACTCACAGAACTGCAGAGAAACGTGCTTATCACTAGCTCTTCCTATAGATCAGAAGCCCTTGGATATTTGATTAATCCCCACTGAAGGAGATTTGTAAACATATGCAACTGGCACTCTATTCTGGAAGCATTCGTGCTTTCACTCCCCTGAAATAGAACATCTATGTGGGATGTTTTACTGGCGCCTAGGCTTTTCCATCTGATAGTTTTTGGAATTTCAGCAAGAAATGCAAGCCATCAGGAAGTTCTGCTCACTACAAATGTATCTTAAGTGAGTATAAGAAGAGAAACTAAAGAATGAAATAAGTGTTCATTTCTATTTCTTATAATAGTAAACTTATGCTTACCCAAATGAGCTCCAATATGGAGACCTGATGTCACTTCCTGCCACCCACTACAGAGCCTGTGTTTAAAGCAACGTATTCTATTTTGACAGATAGAATGAGTCTGATGCTAGTAAAACAAAGAAGTGCTGCTGCTGTTCTATACTTGCTGACATCTCTCAGGAGTTGTCTCCCATTTTAAATGAACACATTTTTAAATTGGAAAATCAAATAAGAAAATTCAAAGGTACCTTGAGACCCTACACTCTAAAGAGGTCACATTTTTTTAAAACAGGGAAGGAAAGACAGAAGAACAATTACAAGCATGTTCAATGAGAATTTGCATTCAGAGAACTGTGCTCATTCTTTTGGCAGGGCCTTAAAATTCACCAGACTCGGCCATTTGGACTCTGAAATTCTCACTAAAGCCCTCTTCAATTGGCTGTATCCTAGGAAACTACATTTACCTTCCTACCACCATAGGTCCCCTAGAATAGCATTTCCCCCACGGCCCAAATATCTGGATATGAGTTCACATGCAGTGTACTTCCCACAGACAACAACCAGCTCTATAGCCAAAAAGACACTGGTACCTATGGAGGACATCTTGCTGTCAGGACTCATTGGCTTAGTCCCACACTTGCCACTCTGTCACTGAAGAGACAAGCCCTTGAATCTAAAGAAATTCTATTCTTCTTGACTTTCCATCTCAAAATGGCTATTTCCCTGGGAAATTCCTGAACAGATCTGTCCCACGGCCACCATCTTACTTTCTTAGAGTATATATAGAAAAGTATGGACAGTCCTGGAAAGAATGGGAAAAGAGGTGTCAAAAGATAGAAACGGGCTGGGAGGGAAGAGGACACATTAAGACGGAGTCAAAGCTTGAACCAGGCGCTTCCTCTTCTTTCTTCTTTCTACAAACCCTCAGGAGGTGGCCTGTCACCTGCTCTCTGCTGTCAGGAGCCATCATCTGTCACGTTCTCCTTCCGAATTCACTGTCAAATGCCAACCAGCTATCACAGTCACCTTTTGTTCATATCCCAGTTGAGGAAACCCCTTTGAAGAGCTTAAGGGAGATTTGCTGCTGCTATTATATTTTTATACTAGGATATAGTAAAGCAAAAGAGAAATAACATGGCGTTAAGTTGTAAGATGAAGATAATTCTTAGGTTTCGAAGCTATCCAGCCTTGGTGGAGGGTCATTGGCTCTGTGCAGCGCGGTCAAGTCAATCATCATTCTCTGGTCCTTCTGCTCATTGCGCACAATTCTCCTACTCCCTCAGGGAGCGTGTTTAAACACTTATTTGGCCATCTCCCACAAGATGCTACCAGTGGATCTGTAACCCATTCTTCTTCTCATCAATAGCCCCTGGGACCATACACAACATGACAATGAGTTGAGCAAAAACCAAAGGCTGGCCTCTCTCAGGTCTTTCCGTCTCCCTTTCTTTTTTTTTTTTTTTTTTTTTTTTTTTTTTTTTTTTGTAGATTTAGTGTCCAATTGCCATATCCCCTCCAGAAACTAGCAAATGCTATGAGCGTTGAGTCACACCCTATGTACCGTGTGTTACTGGCTATTGATATGGACAATTGTGTGTTTTTTTTCTTATTGGGCCAATGTGATTCTCTTATTTTCTTCCTACTTTGCCTGAAAAATACTAACAGCAACTCAATCATAATATTCTGAGCTTTCAGTCCAGTCCTATCTTTCCCTTAAGATGTTTCCTTACAGTTCGTTATATGGCAGTGGCCTGGTTTTTGCTTTTTGTTTTTCCTTTTTTAGCCAACCTCATTCCCATACATATCTGGCCACTCAAAAGCACCAGTATGGCAGTGACCAATATTTCCAGAAGTGGCATTCCCAGTTTGCAAACAACAGGCTGCATTTTTAATACAGACTCTTCGATGATGACATATGGGCTGCTTTTCTCATTTGGTGACAAAGCACATGACAGAAACAACCTTGGAGAAGGGCAGGTTTATCTTGACTCACAATTTGAGGAGACAGCATCCATCATGGTGGATGGGGTTGCACTGTCAGCAACTGCAGGAGTTTGCGGCACAGGTGGATAGATGGTGCTCACCAGGCGGCAGGGAGAGCTCCACAGTAAGGCTGACCATAATCCTCAAGGCCTGTCTTCCCTTCCTCCAACCAGCCACTGCCTTCTATACCTAAACAGCACCACCAGCTGGCAATCAAATATTCGAACCCATGAACCTGTAGGGAGCATTTCCCAAGCAAACGTAACAGCTGAGGAGAACAGTGTGGCAGTTGTAGTAATAGGTGAGAACCATCCAGCATTCA